GCGCGCATTAGCTTTGTGCATTTACTCTCTAAACTGAAATTTGCTCGCTTCGATTGCTGCAATTTCTGAATCACATTTAGGAGGCAAACTTTCATCTGATTGAATTTTGCCTCAGTGTGTGCAGTGTACATAGAGTCTGCTTGGGCAATCAAGTCACATTTTCGAAGGCAGTATTAACACTCTCCATATAACTCTATAAAACTGGCTTTTAATTCGGTTATTGGATGGCATTTGACAGATGTGTCTCATGTGCTGCACAAACTACACGTTGAAAGCATCTTGAGTTTTTGTTTTGCAACACTGGACCAAATCAAAATCATTTCTTGACAGCTGCAGCGTGCAGGCATGTGTGTATGTGTGTGCACATGCATGTGCCATGTGTGTCTACAGGAAACCAATCTGACCCACGGGATTAGTGGCTGACTTGGTGAGTGACTCTTATTCTGTTCCAGATGTTTATCACGTCATAAAGGCCCCGAGTCCTCTGCGAGGAATAGGTAGGAACACAACCTCCTTTCAACACACAGACACACACGCTTCCCCAGCTGCAGCCCAACTTGTGGCACTGACAGACACGGCTGATAAGAAGTCACCTCTGTGTGTGTGTGGAGAGTATCAGCTGCTCTTAAGTCACTGGAGCAAAAATAAACACACAAGCAGACTTCCTTTTTGGACTTTTGATACATCTCAACCAAAACCCTGACGTCCATGCAGATGCAGCCACACATGGACTCTCTTTTTCTCTCATCCTCTTTCCTCTTGTAATGACACCAATAAAGCAGTGCCAGTCTTATCTAAAGAAAAACTCATTCCCCTCAGGGCACACTATCTCAAATCAGAAACCTATCTCTCTGCTATGAAAACAGCTGGCAACATCTACCTTATAACAACCAGCTCCACATGCGTCTCACTGTCTCGATTATAGAAGCACAGAGCCTGACACACAGCACGCTTGAGCCGTCTCAAAACACCAGCATGCATTTAGTTTTTCAGGAACACTATCGCGCTTGTTCCACCGGTGCCAGTCGTGCGTAATGAGCGCCGTGTGGCTGGAGCGCACCAGCTGGCTGTGCAAGAAGAGGTGTCAGTCATCATCCGCGTACAGTATGAATCTTTACAGTTGCTGTGAGTGTTCCTGTTACCATAATAGATCCCAATCTCGCTCCGGCAAGTCAGAACTGATCTTCAGATGGTGCACAGGGGAGCGCATTCCTCGGGATTTTGGGGTCTTAATATGTTGAATTTTAAACTATGATATTTTTAAATCAGTTGTGCACGTTTAAATGTCAGAACAGGCTCTTACTAAAATGTGTCAGTGACTTCACATGGAGCTATTTTGAAGGTTTAAATATTATGAATGATCAGAGGAGGTCAAGATAACTCCTCTGAGGTGAAAGAGGACGCATTGGGTGATACCATAAAAGAGGAGTGAATGAGAGGTGCAAGCCCCCAGTAGTTCCCTTTTCATTTTTAGGATGAACTTTCCTTTACACGTCTAATCAAAGCAGGGCGTCTAGACGTGCACTGCAACTTCTATTCACAAGAATCTCTTTGATGATGACGCGCTTCGGCCAGCAGAGGAAAAAATGAAAAAGTTCTTACCGAGATACTGTCGGATGTCCAGCAGGATTTTAGGGGGTCCTCCGTTCAGCTGGTAAAAAAGGGAGCCGAAACAGAAGAGGAACAGCGTAGCCATGCAGAAACCATAACCTCGCAGGGAGAATCGCAGCGGTATAACAGAGAGTAAGCTGTACTTTCTGTTGTTTCGCTCTCTAACGTGGTTGGGAGTCTGGTTGTTGCTGTGAAGGGGACTGCCGCTGAAATTCTTCATCATCTCCTCCTCACAAAGCGCCGTGGAAAGTCACCCATCCGCCTGTGGAAAGTGAAACTTGTCGCTTCGGGAGCATTTAGAAGCGGACGGCCAGTTATTTTGGAGACGCGCAGGCACCCAGCCTCTCCTCCGCTGCCGCAGCCACGGGGTTGTTTTTTGCGCACAGCGGTTTCGGCTTCTGCTCGGTCCCTCTCGTTTGCGCTCGTTGGGTGAGTGCTCCTTCCTTCCGTCCTTCCAGCCGAGTTAAGGGTCCATCCTTCTGCTGCGAGTCTTTTTGGGTGTCAGATTACTGGACGTGGAAAGAGGAAAAACTTCCACCTCATACAGGATTTGGGTTGGATTGCAGTGCGTAAAAACAGCGTCACCCAGTGTTCAGGGAGGAGAGGGGCATTTACAGGCAGCCGGTGGGCTTTCATTGAGATGAGTTTGATTTGCAGCAGCCTCAGCAGAGACTGAGAGGACCTCCTCTCTCTGTGGAGAGAGTTTAAAACCTATTTTCATTTCAGTTGATATAAAAGAGTGGTGGCTTTATCCCTTACCACAGCCTTTACAATGTGATGATAGAGGTCGTTTGTAGTTTGTTAATGATTTTGAGATATGACACGGACATACCAATAGATAAAACATTCATACATAGAAACATCACAGTGATCTATTAACCCTGTAAAGTGCTTATTATCCAGAAAATGCAACACACAGCGTTACCACCACTGACATGGATATTTTGCCAGCAGCTGTGTATCAAAACAATGAGGTTAGTATGTTTAATGAACTGTGGTAAACTTCTCACCATCTTACCAACGCCCATACCTCCCTGTTGCTCATCTCTCACCTCATTTTTGTTGTTTCCTTGGCTGCTGCCGACCAGGAGTTTGTACTTCCACATTTGTATGCCTGACACCGCCAACACAAAGAGTACAGAAGCCATAAGATAAACACGGCTTTCTCTCAAAAGCAGACCAAACTTCAATTAAACGGTAAATCAAGCAGTGCTGATCAAATATAAACCATTATTCTGTTACCATATCGCCCATTTTCCGCCTAAAATGTCTTCAGAAGCATATTTTAGCGCACTGTTTAGCTGTTACTACTAGAGTTTGTGAACAGGAAGCGGCGCCATTTTGTTTCCTGTATTGTAAAGCGTAAGAAACACGCCCCGCCCCCACAAACAACGCCCCGCCCACCACTAGCACAAGACAAACCTACCAGCAAGACCATTAGCTGAACCCTGCTACAATGCTACACTGTGGTGAGTAAATGAGATCAAATGTAGCTATAATCTGCTTTATAGTTCATAATACGTAATTCACTTAACAAGTAACGAGCTGTAACTCTTTCCATTACCCTTATCCTAACTTAAACCGCCTCTCTTTTAAGGTAATACGTCATAGCTAAGGTTAGCTAACTGCTAATGTAGCATTAGCATAAGTAGCAAGATGTAGCCTTCCCATTACCCTTACACAGAGACAGTGCAGGCAGTGTGGTTGCACTGTGGCCTGTGTGGTTGGGGGTCCAAAGAGAAAGTGGGCCTTCCCATAGACATATACGTAGACACTGCATCGAGTGGGTTTGCCCGCTGCTGCGATACGTCAATTTCGCCGCCATATTGATTGTGGCAAGGCTGCGCTGTAAACTAATACAAGTATATATATATACTGTGTATTGTTTTTTGGCACTACCTTGTTTTCTATAGCTGATGTAACGTGAATTACTCCTGTGTGGGGTCAATAAAGTTCTTATCTTAGCCATCTGAGAAGTTAAAATACATTATTTTTGGTGCCTGTTTCCCAAGTGTGTGTGTGTGTGTGAATGAATAAACGAGAGGCATTAACGTAAATTTCTTTGTAGAAAGGCGCTTTATGAAATTAAGTCCATTTACTTGTATTAGTTTACAGCACAGCCTTGCCATATCCAATATGGCGGCGACGTTGACGTACGGCTCAGCGCTCGATGCGGCGTCTATGTATATATGTCTATGGGCCTTCCAAACAGTGCGTCAGGTGGAGAATGGGCCCTTATGAGTGATTGCCACTTTGACAATATGCCTGTATTCAACTTAGAACTCTCATTAAATAGAAGAAAAAGAAAGTGCCACATGCTGTATGTGCCCTTGAAAAAGGCAACCCCACCCCCATTATGTTAATTTTTCTTTTTTTGTAAAATAGTCATTAGCATTTATAACAAAATTGTGTGCTTAATTTATAATTATAAATGAACTATTCTTTAAATCTATTGTTCTATAACTATAAATCAACTATTCAAATTGTTAAATTATTTTTTAGTATTATTTATATAGTACTTTTTGTTATATAAAGATATGCAGTGATGATTGCTTGTTGATATATTCCAGTGTCAAGTCATGGATCATGTGACAAGATGACATGAGCACAATAGCGTGCGTTAGGGCCCGTTATAATAGCCTGCACTGGGACCCATTGTAGCTACCTTATGCCCTTGCCCTCACCCCGAGGAAAATATAAAATATGTTATATAGGGTAAAATATGGGAAGATTCCCCCTTTAAGAACAGAGTCAATTTACTGTAAAATTAAAACATATTCCGATGTGATTTTAGCATGTGCAGGATGATGATGCATAAGAGGCCGATCACACCTACAGGTTTCAATGAGTGCCCCTTACAAGGAGCGCCTGTAGAGCGGGGGTGTATGCACAACCAGGCGATCATTGAAAATGGACCCAAGATGGAGGAGGGCACTTGCCGTTGCTCTGCTGGTGGTGCTACTGGCGCCTGAACTTTCAGCGTCTACAAGCACGCATCTAAAAAGACACCAGAAAAAGAACACGCATCTGAAAAGACGCCAGAAAGACGCTCGTCATAAAAAATGCTTGAAAACCAGTCAGATGCGCCGTATCATAGGGAATCAATTATTTTTACTGGCGTCTCGTTTCTAGTGCTCCTTGTAGGTGTGATCGCCCCCTAAACCAACACAATGTTGGGAGAAAATGGTACAGTGGCCAATTTTGTTGTTACAGCACAAAAATAAGTATTTGGTAAAAGGGCATCTTCATCCACTATTGAGGCAAGAAGCCCCCAAGCTCAAAATGAGCTACATAACTAAATAATAATAATAATTTATCATTAAATTTAATTTATATTTATATTTCAATTTTGTAGATTGTTTCATGTAGTTTTTTTTTTTACACCCTCTTGTAATTTACCCTATTTATTCCCCATTTAAATAGGAATAAATGAAATGCTTAGTAATTGAGTATATTTATTTACATATTGATAAATTCAAAATAATTTAATAATTTCTTTATAGTCTGTTTCAATGTTTTCTAGTGGTTTTCCTGACAGTTGTGATCCTCCATACAGTCACCAACCCAGATTAGTCCTCACCTGCTGAGCTGCCAGCTGACTCGTTGGGTCCAATTATGTTCATGCAGGTGTGCAGCGCGGCCATTACAAACACACCAACGTCACCACTCTGCTCACACACACAGGTCAGAGCCGTTTTTCTACCGCAGCAGCAGCTGATCTGCAACAGTCCGGTGTTCCCGTATTCAACAAATGTTTGATTTCTACGTCACAGCCGCTGGTTTCACCGTGTTCGCCTTGTGACTGCTGCCACTCCTGACGCGGGGATTCTCACCTGGTTTCCATCACACCTGGGTCTGAGGTAATATTCAGCTTGAATTATTTCCATGTGCTGCAGAAGCATGTTCATCCGCTGTGTGCTGCTACATGACGTGTCTTTGCATTGGTGTGAGACGTTTTAATGTAGCAGATGAGTTAATTTCCTGTTTCCTGCTCCTTCCTGTGTGTTGCTTTAATGACCAAGCTGTAAAAGTTGCAAGCCTGCTCCTGTTAATGGGCTGAATTGTTTTTGGTGATGTGTTCCCCTGATGGTGTTGGCATTTCAGGGGGGGTTCCTGCTGGCTGATTGTAAATCGAGTATCAAGCAGAGTATTAGAGTCATTATTTCCATTGCTTCCTGGCTTCATGGAAGTGCTAAAGGATATGAAGTCACATTTATCATTTCTCTTCATGTTGTATTTAGCTGTGCATAAGGAAATATTTAACTCAAAACATTACATTTTTAATCACAGTTTATGTTAAAGCTTCACTTGTTTGTACCATAATTAAAGGTCCAGTGTGGAGGATTTAGCTCTTCTTAAACAGCAGATCCTTTTCTGCATAATGTAACTCTACAGCCATTTACTGTAAAGGTCAATTCCTTGACGTACTCTAAGTGTCTCTGGACTGAGGAAATGCGTATCAGGTGTCTTGTTATTGTTTGACATTGTCTCTGGTAAGATTGCTGTTGGGTTTTTTTTAGACTGAGCCGGTCCTTGATGGATCATTTATTTAATTCTTCTTCGATTGAGCAATCAAGTGTAATCTTTTTAGCCTCTAGTAATGCTATTAAAATCTGTGTTTTTAAGAGGGATATTGTGCTAAGTGGTCACCAAGGAGGGAGGTGGTTGGGCTGAAAGTAAAGCTGAGGTTTTGGTTCTGGGAGAGCAAAACTAACCCTGAGTGATTCTAGCCTGAACCCATTAAACGTACAGTGTGTAATTATGTGCCGCAATGGGGTCTCTCACTTCTAACAACAACAAAAGATGGAGTAATGCTGTCATTCCTTCAGTGTTAAATGTTCAGGAGGTTTTTACTGGGAGCTGAATGATTCACAGAGGTCTCTTCCTCTCCAGAATAAACAGACCCAGTGATTTAAACTGATAATAACACTGAATAAAGCAGTTTTATGTTAAAAATAAGCGTTTTCTATGATGTTGTTTGGCTGGTCACTGATGTCACCTAATGTGTGCTCACCTTTTTCTCTTTGGTAACTTAAGATCCAGATGAGCAGAGGGGTGTTACTGAGAGCCGAATTATGTGCAGTGGTCTCTTACTCTCCAAAACAAATTGACATGGTTGTTTAAAATGGTAAAAACACTGAATAAGGTAGTTTCATGTTGAAAATTGGTGTTTTTACAAGGCTTTTCAGCACAGCAGGGGCTGGAGTCAAGCTGCTGCTTATGTTTGTTTAGCTTGTTTCTGTGATCATGTAAGATCCAGACGTCTGTTGACTCAAGGCCCTGACACACCAAGCCTATGCTTGGCCTTCGGTGAGCGTCTGTTGCCCCAGGCAGTTTGGTTTGTCCCTCACCATTACCCATTGTTGGCCCCTGTATTTTTTTTTTTTTTTGGCCGATTCAGCATGGTGAATTGGCATTAGCATCCTGAGAGCCTTTTGGTGAATGAAATCACTCTGATTGACAGTTCAGTTCAATGCACGAGTAAAGAAATGGAAGTGAGGAATGTAAACAAAGAGCTAAAGTCAAGAGGGAATGAGACCAAAACAGACTTGTTACATAAGATACATTTGTTTTTCTGTAGCCATTGAGCTCTTCAGCAGAAACATTTTGTGATGGTTTGTATTATTGTTCATAAGCTTATGAACATTTGAATGCATTGTCAATGTGCCAACTGGTAACAAGACGGCGACGTCAGTCAATGCAGCAGTGTGTCTTTGTCGCCACTAGTTCTGTGTAGTCTGTTAGGTGTGTCTGGGCCTTAAAATCTTTCATCCGGTTAAAACATAGTTAAAAATGACCAAGGTCTATAATGTGTGTCGTAAAATGTGGCTTAAAACTGGATAAAAATCAATTCAAGACAGCATCTGGCAGACAACCACAACCTTGATGCGTGTGTGACACATCACTCGGACCCTGTCCTTGATTAATATTACAGATTCCTCTGGGTTTGAACATTGTCCGATATGTATGGGACGTAAATACAGCTCACAAAAAGCACATTTTAATGTAGAAGAGTTGCATATTATATCTTTAAATCCAAGTCTAAACAAATGGGAAGGTCTGCAACTCAAAAAAGTTACCTCAAAGATATAAGTTTAAGGGCACACTTGCACTCACAAAGACAGAGGGTGTTAACGCTATGAGGTGTGTGAGAAAGGAAAGGAGTCGACCGTGATCTACTGACCTTTTTGATGAATTTTATGTTGGAGTAGCTCTCTGAGGTGAAGTTGTATCCTTCTGTCAGCAGGGTCAGGATGTACGTGCCAGAGAAACAGTACTCAGCCAGATACTTTAATTTTACAGCAGGATGCTGCTGCTTCACCTGTTCAAGCAGTTCACGTGGCAGAGATATCATCAGTGTACAGTAAAGGCATGATGGAGGACATACAGCAGAGAAGACGGGACAGCAGATAAATATGGCAGGATGTTTGTTTTGTGTGTGTAAGTGATGCATAACTATGACCCGACCTCTTCCCAGGGGGTAGCACAGTAGTTTGCAACCCTCTTCCTGACAGTTTCCAGAGGGATGGATGTGTCGGTCAGATTGAGGAAGTTCATCACAAAGTAGTAGGCAGAGAAAGCCTGAGGTGAGAGAGAGGGGGAGAGGAAGAGATGATGCAAAAGGAAATTAGCTCTTTCATTAGCAAATGAAGTAATTAGTTTATAAATAATTCTCATAAGGGTTTTTCTGGTCTCACTGACTCAGAGGTTATTTGTCTTTGTTTGCAAGTATCTGTGAGGATATACACAATTCAACAGCAACGTCTCCTCCCAGAAACAGTGTCCCTCATGAGGAATTCTCTGGCAACTGTTTAGTTACAAGGAGAAGTGTCCATGCAATGAGGTCTGAATTAGTCAGGGTTACTGAGAGAGACAGTTTCTGGAAAGCTGAAGTGTTCACATACAAGTTCAAAATGCTACATGCACTACAAACTAACCCCACAAACCTTCTGTAACCCCTTGTCCTCATATGGGGACATTATAGTTTTGGGTTTGCTGCACTTTATACTTCATTCTGCTGAACTGGGTTGACTGGCAACAACAGCAAACTTAGGGTTCTTTCAGACCTAGAGTTGTCTTGCTTTGGTCCGAATCAGGGCCAAATTTTTTACAAAGTTGTGTAAGTGCCTAGAGCTGGTTCTTGTTCTCACGGCAGCATTTACAAGTGGACCAGATCAAATGCCTTGTGTGAGAAAGCTGCTCTTGATTGGTCAGAATTTCCATTTGGGAAAAATCCAGGAAGTAAAGCAAACGTTGAAGAAGAGTACACTTGCAAGATAAATGTGACACTTTCTAATGTCACAATGGAGGGACAACTACGCAGGTTGATTTTAGCGCTGCTCATCGTGGACTATATTGCTGTATATTGCTCATTGTTTTGAGCGAGCAAAATAGACTTAAATCATTCAGCACACTGTGCGAGCAGCCTACAGATTTCAACCGGCAGCAGAAACAAAAGGCGAATCCCACCGATTGTGGGTTGAACGGGGGTCACAGACACAGACAGTAATGTATTCCTGTCAAATACGGCGGCCATCGGGTTACCGCGACGGAGAATTCGGCTCCAATAATATCCTCTTCTTGGCGTCATGACTGCCCAGAAGTACCTGAACAGCCGAGCCAGCCGAACACAGGTGTGTGACGTGTCAGAGGAGAAACAAGCTGTTCATGGCCCACAAACCTCACAGCACTTTAGGGACTGTTCTTTACTTGTCAGGGGAGGAGGGTTGATTTTTATTTTATTTATTTATTTTATTTCAATCCCCTCTATGTTAATCACTTATGTTTTTGAAGTATGAATAAGTCAATAAGTAACTGAAATTGAAATATCAGTGATGTATTATAGAAAAGTGATTTATCTTTTTATAAATGACAAAAGGCACATCTGTCTCATTTTCGCTGTGGTATCGTGATACTACTCAGAACCATGATATTTTCATTGGTATTGTACAGTGGGTCCCAGTTTTGGTACCGTGACAACACTAATCTGGAGGGGGTTCATCTGCAAAAACTAATGAAAAACTAAACAACAATATTCGGTATTCGGTATTCGGCCAAGCGTTTAATATTATTCGGCTTCAGCCACAAATTTTCATTTCAGTGCATTCCTAGTTTTGATGCATTGGATGTGCTGAATGTGCATATTAAGGCAGTACAGGAGGAGGTGCACATTAATAATCCTCCAGGACAGTAACATGCTCATGTTTAACCCAAACAATGTGTCATGTGACTGCAGTTCCTTTGTAACTGGACCAAGACCACCACCTAAAGACGGTCTTAGTCTTATTGTTTTGGTGCACACCTGAGTGTGAGTGGTGTGTTCACACCTGCCTCAACAAATTGTACTTAGAGGGCAAACAAACTTGAGTATGAACTCTTTGAAAGAATCCTTAAGGTCTTTTTTTCTTTTAAATGCCTGTGTCCCTTTGTATCATTCCATGTCCTGTCTCTCAATTCTGAGGTTTTTGTGGGTCCATGAACACAGCACAGGCGGAGCTCTCCACAAGTTCTGTTTTTCCTCAGCAGCACTTTGTGACTCACGGGGTGGATAAAAGATCTTTCGATCTGTTCAGTGTTAATAAGATCGATGGATGAGAGGAGCGGCTGTAAAGTTTCACTTTCAATGCGCTTGACACTCTGCTGCTCAGTCTGTGCTCCTGGTGAGCTCTGCGCTCCAACAGTGTGGTGCTATTAATAACCACATGGTATGTATGTACAGTACAGGCCAAAAGTTTGGACACACCTTCTCATTCAATGCGTTTTCTTTATTTTCATGACTATTTACATTGTAGATTCTCACTGAAGGCATCAAAACTATGAATGAACACATGTGGAGTTATGTACTTAACAAAAAAAGGTG